TTACACTTAATTTCTCCAAACAAATGCGATTTAATTTTGTGGTATTTTAATGTCGATCTTTGTTTAAAACTTTTTCTGCAATCATTGTAATGACAAACAAATGGGTTTTCAGCCGAATGTATGACTTTGTGTCGATTGAGACTCCCTTTCGTTGGATAACTTTTGTCACAATTTTTTTCATTACATTTGAATAACTTTTGATTCAAATGAACAGCAATTTTGTGATCATTTAAACCGTGTTTAGTAATAAACTGTTTGCCACATTCACTCCAATCGCATACATATCTCACGTTTAAATGAACACTATTTTTGTGAAATCTAAGATTTGCTTTATTATTATAAACTTTGTCACAATTATTAAAATTACATCTAAATATGAGTTTAGATTTTGATTTCGTTTTCACATTAGTTTTCGTTTCATTATTAATCACACAATGATTACAATCGGCACTAATTTTACACATTTTAATGACACGACTATTATTGCACTCATTGTTCGTGTGATCAGCGTTTGGCAAACATTTGCCGATTAATGTTGAGTTTGCACTCAAAATACAATTATTTGTATCAAAACTTTTGGTTAAATCTATTAAACTTAAAACTAATTTCAATTTACAATACATTTTAATTTCATTTAATATGACATTTAATTTTGAATCAAAAGATGTTTAAATTATTTTCACATTAAGTGATACGATATCTTATTTTCAATTTACACCCGGATCATAGGTTAATGTACTATATTATAATCGCTGATAAGGTATGCGACTGTTTTAAGGTATAGGTATTAAAATCTCTGTTCAATTATCTGTACTTATGTTAATAAGGCTGACCTCTAAGTATCAATAAATCTCATATATTTCCGGGACTTGTTTACCATAAGCTTATCGTTAGCCAGTGTGACCAACCGTCCTCTATTGGAGAGGACAGTCCTCTATTTAGGGTGTCTGTCCTCTGTACTTTAAATGATAAATAGTGGACATTAAATGTCCTTTATTTGTGAATATTATAAAATAAAATATTTATATAAATAATTGCAACATAAAACTGCAATATAAACTGCCTTCTACATTACAATCATAATAAAAAAAAGACATTATCGTTTAACTAAATTAAATGTAGCATATAAAAATATGTACAAACTAATGACAAAACTAGCATTTAATGAGATCAACAGAAAAATATTTTCAAAAAATTGTAATTCAATCCCACTATACAAAAAAGTTGTCCACTATTTGTCCTTTATTTATACAATTATTTTATCAGAGTGTCCACTAATTACAAAACTTGAGTTGGTCACACTGTCGTTAGCCCTATTAATCTCTATTGCACCCAGCACTATTATGTTTAATTTTGAATATAAAAACCAGAGTACAATATTTAATTGTTTTTGTCTTTGCAATCATTACTTCAACAACACATTGATTTCATAAATAGTTTTTTTTGTGAATAGATTTGTGTTTTTTCTGGTCAATTATGTCTCAAATCTATAGTAAAGACTCTTACGACAGATTTGGCGATGATTTGTGTCAACACTTATTGAGTTTTCTCTCGTTGGACTCGAGTTTCCGATTTGAATGTCTGTCCAAACAGTGGCAGAGAATGGTATTCAACGGACAGACAGATCTCACCACACGTTTGGAAAGCTATCCATTGGAGAAAATTTTGAAAAAATGTCAAAACATTCAATCAATTGATATACGCATCCAAAGCGACTTTGATTTGGTTACAAAACACTGCAATCGACTCAATAGTATTCACATTACATTGTATTCCGTTTTCGATGACATCAATAAATTGTTGACAAAGTTTGCAAAACAATTAACAACTTTTTGCCCGAATTATTATGACTTTGTATGTAATGCCACTCGTATTGCTCTAACATTGTGTCCAAATATATGTCACTTGGAGTCCGGATGTATACCCCTATCAATGCTCCACACAAATGGGGTTTTTTTCACAAAATTAAAGAAATTAAGATTTGTTTCCTACACTCAAATTATGAATAGTTTTCATACATTTGTGGATAACTATAAAAATACAATGAAATCAATTGCTATGCGAATCATTCAGAGTTCTAATGAGGAATCAGTGGCTATACTAATGACTGGTTTGTCACAAATGCGAGCATTAATTGACATTCAATTTGAATATAATGCTGACATTCAAACCCCGATTATTGTGAGTGTTTTGCCAGACATTGGTATAAATTGTGGTAAACTTCGCAGACTATCAATGATTCCACTGTTAAGTGATCCGCAAATGACTGACCAATTGTTTCGCGCAATTAACACACATTTCTCGCACATTGAACGTCTAGAAATTAGACCCAATATTACCTGTGATTACATAATAACCGCGGAATCACTGAATCGTTGCAAACGATTAACGCATTTAACACTGAAATGCAAAATCAGCGCATTTTGTGACGATATTCACCGCTATTTCCCTAGACTTCAATCCGTACGCGAAATCAGAATGAATGACATAACAGATGATGATTTAAATAACCTTGCTAAATTGGCATCACTGCGTTATATTAAGATCTACGGCAATGCTATGTTCACCCAATCGGGTGTTAATAATTTGATTGATAAATGTACCAAAAGTGTTGATTTTCGTATTATATCGGCTAATGTTAACATCAAACTTAATAAACGTAACAATAATTAGTAATTATGCCATTAATTGAATGCTTCACACAAACAACTGTTAATTATGTGTCCAAAAATTGTCACAAAATTTGCATTTATTTAAAAACAATTACAGCATTAAAGAATAAATTATTAATAATTGGTATATTTTTAAATATATAATTTATATATAATTTTATGTGTTTCAATATAAACAGTACTGTATACAAATAACAAATAAACAAAAAATAAATAAAATGTTTAGAAAATATTTATAAAATTCATATTTTTAAGTTTTCATTTTTTCGACATAACTTTTGTCGCAATACTGTCATCACATTTAAATTGCTTTTGTTTAAAATGCACGGAAATGTTGTGTTGATATGAATTAATATTAAATATCAAAAACATGTCTACAGTTTGGTTGCGAGCACTGGTAGACAGGCTTTCCCTTCATGTGAACATCCGTTATATGCTGTTTTAATGCATTATTATTTGAATAACACATTATTGTCCAGGACATGTTTATCATATGCTTATCATTAAACTTATTAATCTATATTCAAATAATTTGAGTTCATATTGGAATCTAACCTTAACTTAGTTTTGCACCCAGCACCAATAGACTCAGTCTTGAATATAAAAGTCCAAAGTTTTGTAAATATCTGTCACATTTAAGTTTTATAAGTATTATACTATTGTTTGGTGAATACAACCATAATTTTTAAAATATACTCATTTTATAATTAGTGTTTTGAAAAGAGTTGTGTTTTTCTCTGCAATTATGTCTGAAATCTATGCGAAAGACTCTTTCGACAGATTTGGTGACGATTTGAGTGAAGTTTTGTTGAGTTATTCAACATTTGACTCGAGTTTCCGATTTCAATGTCTGTCCAAACAGTGGGAAAGGCTGGTATTCAACGGACAGACACATCTCACCACACGTTTGCCATCCCATCCATTGGAGAAAATTTTGAACAAATGTCAAAACATTCACTCAATTGATATTCGCATTCAGTTGCGTTTACCTTCCGATGAAATCAACAAATTGTTGACAAAGTTTGGCAAACAATTGAAAACTTTTTACTTAAATAACAATACATATAACGTGAGACTTATTGATGTGAATGCGTTCATCGATTGCATGACTTTATGCCAAACTATATCGACATTAGAGACCAATTGTATACCACTATCGCTGCTAACCAATGGCACAACAAATGAGGTTTTATTCACAAAATTAGTGAAATTTAATTTTGTTTTCTTCAGGGACTGCGCCAATAGTTTGCAAGCATTTGTCAATAGCTATGGAAATACAATGAAATCACTTTCAGTGACAATAGCCTATTGTTGTGACGAGAAGTCAATGGCTATACTAATGACTGGTTTATCACAAATGCGGGCATTAATTGAAATTCAAATCAGAAATTATTATTACATTCAAACCCCGCTTATTGTGCAAAGTTTGGGAAGTATTGGCAAAAATTGTGCACAACTTCGCGGACTATCACTGAATAACGAGACAAATGAGCCGCAAATTACTGTCCATTTGTATGACATAATTAACACACATTTCCCGCGTATTAAACGTCTGGAAATCAACGGCTATTTAAACACTGAATTCATTTCTATTACACAATCACTGAATCGTTGCCAACGATTAACGCATTTAACACTGAAATGCAAAATCAGCGCAATTTGTGACGATATTCACCGCTATTTCCTTAAACTTCAATCCGTACGCGAAGTCATAATGAATGACATAACAGATGATGATTTAAATAACCTTGCTAAATTGGCATCACTGCGTTATATTCATGTGTATGGCAATGCTATGTCTACCCAATCAGGTGTTAATAATTTATTTGACAAATGTACCAAGATTGTAGATTTTCGTATTGTATCGGCTAATGGTCCGTTTAAAATGCATACACATATCAAACGTTACACTAATCAGTGATTATGTCATGAATAGTGTTTCAAAAGTGGCAAACATTTACACCATTAGACTCTATGGCAGCCATGAGTTCACATAAACGGCGGTTAATAATGCGATAAAAATATCGGTATTTGTAATATTAATAGAAAAAACATTTTATTCATTGAATTATCATAAAAACATTTTAAAAATTAAATTGTATTTAAAAATAATTAGTTCAACATTTTTAACATTACAATGTAATGATTACATATATAACTTTTTAAATAATAAAATGATAATTTATTTAGCATTCATACCCAAAAATAATTTTTTTATTTTCAAATCAAATGCTCATAATTTATTTAGAAATATAAATTATAACTTAATAACAAAATATGATTAACATACTTAAACTTTTATTTATTTATTTTCATTTACTAATAAGATTACTTAACCAGACCATTATTAGTAATACCCGGATTTAGCTTATAAGTCGATGTACCCAGGTGATCATATAAATACACCTGACAGGTGGCGCTACAACTACCCTCCAGAGTCCATATTCTGTATACGGCTGTAGCACTGGTTACACCACTTTCCTGGCTACACCCATGAACCTGGTCAGATTGGAATATGGACATTCCCCAAAATTCCGAGTCTGAGCAAGGTCCTCCGTAAACAATACCGTTTTCGTGAAATGTCCTTTCGCCTATTAATTATTCCGTTAATTAATATTATCATGATTATTATAATTATAATATGCATGATTACCGTAACATAAAAATTATATAACACATTATCCATACAGTTAACAAGGTTCTACTTAATATATAATACTAAGTAATATCATTATATCATTAATATTATTATAATTATTTTTAATTATACCTGATGAATTCATATGAGATGCTAACTTCAACTCTGCTTTAATAATACAATTCTACTCACTAATGGACTTTAAAATTAGCATCTTGTTTGTAAACAATCAGGCATAATTTGTGATTACCGTCGGTGTACGTGTTGACACCCAGGTACTGTCCCACAGTAATCTTAATGTCGCCCTCTGGTGCGATTGCGTTGAACGACACGTTAGCATCAGCTATGGTCAGCCCATTACAGGTGACCCCAGTCACGTACGACCCTGATGAGGTAATGGCGCTGATAGCCAGGCCACTATCGGCACTAGTAGTGCATACGAACTTGTTGTCGTAGGTCAGGGTAGTTTTGGCAGTGGGTGCAATTTCTATAAGGGTTACGTTTTAATTTACTATTTTATATATGGGCATACAACATAATATTTAAATTTAACTCATCAGAAACATCTTACAGTTTACTTTTATTATCATGCTAATTTCAAAACTATTAAGTAAGATTTTTATTATAGTAATAAATGTAGGTATCGTTTATTTTGTAAGCAGATAATTTTAAAAAAAATTATATGTTGTAAATAACAATTAAACATACATACCAATAGGTACCCAGTTAACTGTTGCAGTTGCTATAAGAATTTATTAAATATTTTTAATTTGTAAATACAGTATTACATTGTTATATATATTTGTGATACATACCAGCACTGGTAGCTCCATAAGTAAATTTAAAGCATGTGATTAAAGCTAATGAGATATAAATGATAAAATTCATTATTATTAAAATAAAACAAAAATTATAAATTAATAGCAACTATTCTCTAGTACGAATATATTTTGTAAAATAAACTTATTCAATATACGGTTTAAATAAAATAGTTTAATATTGTATATTTATTTGGAAACGATACAATGAAAACGTGTATTAATTATAATTTATGTAATTTACATTGAACGCATGTTTTTAGTTATTAGTAATGAAAATTTAATTTATACACTTGAAAAACTAACTAAATTTATCGTATTAGATAAATTTATCTGAAACTAAATATTTTTAAATAATTGTCTGTTATAAATTAAATTAAAGAATATTCTGTGCATGTTATATATCAAACAAAACCCTAACTATTCCTCTAAATTTAACACTGAAATGCAAAATCAGCGCAATTTGTGACGATATTCACCGCTATTTCCTTAAACTTCAATCCGTACGCGAAGTCATAATGAATGACATAACAGATGATGATTTAAATAACCTTGCTAAGTTGGAATCACTGCGGTATATTCATGTGTATGGAAATGTTATGTTTACCCAGTCGGGTGTTAATAATTTGATTGATAAATGTACCAAGATTGTAGATTTTCGTATTATATCGGCTAATGGTCCGTTCAAAATGCATACACATATCAAATGTTACGCTAATTAATGATTATGTCATGAATTGTGGCAAACATTCATACCATTAGACTCTATGGCAGCCATGAGTTCACATAAACGGCAGTTAATAATGCGATAAAAGTCGGTATTTGTAATATTAATAGAAAAACATTTTATTCATTGAATTATCGTAAATGATTACATTTTTTGCATTCATACCTAAAAATAAATGTTTTTTATTATTTTCAAATCAAGTGCTCATAATTTATTTAGAAATATAAATTATAACTTAATAACAAAATATGAAAACATACTTAAATTTTTTTATTTATTTTCATTTCTTAATGAGATTACTTAACCAGACCATTGTTAGTAATACCGGGATTTAGTTTATAAGTCGATGTACCAAGGTGATCATATAAATACACCTGACAGGTGGCGCTGCAACTACCCTCCAGAGTCCATATTCTGTATACGGCTGTAGCACTGGTTACACCACTTTCCTGACTACACCCATGAGCCTGGTCAGATTGGCACGCGCCTTTTCATCGCGTCATCCGTACGGCCACCCGGGACTACACACTGCCCGGCTCAGGGATTGGCATCAAAATGGGTCAGAAGGTGGAGGTGCCCGTGTACGCCATACACCATCTGGAGGGATACTACCCGAACACCGAGCACTTTTATTCTGATCGTTTTCTGACCAATCGTAAGCCGGCCATGTATATACCATTCGGTATAGGGCCACGAAATTGCGTAGCCGGTAGATTTGCCAAGCTCGAATTAAAAATAGCCGTGGCACACATAATTTAGCGTTTCAAGCTCGAGGTGGTTGGCAAACCGGACGTACCGGTGCCGTTGATGAATCGTCAAGAGGTGCATAAGCCGTCGAGTATTGTGTTACGTGTCATGAAAGTTATGCAAAACTAATTAAATTTGACACATACAGCGTGTTTCACCATTAGCAGATAAAGGTTCAGGTTCATATCTCAAAAACTAGAAGGGATAGCTTTAAAATCTAAACGGGATATTAAAGTTAAAGGTATAGCAAATTTTTTGACGTATCGATCATTACCGAGGTCCCATTATTAATATTAATGTCATAGTCTATCTTGCAGACCAGGGTTTCAGGTAAATCTAAAGGAGCTAGGTAGAAACGTATAATAGCAAATTTGTAAAGAAAAGTATGAACTTTCATATGTGCTTTAGAACAATACAATAATCCAAGTGGTTCTGGCACAATTAATGTATAAAAATCAAGAATTTCTGTTAATTTCTATGGGAAATACAATAGAAAATTTTTCAAATAGCAATTTCAGGACAAGGAATTGTAGCTAGGTAAAAACATTCAATATAAAGAATAACGACATTTCTATAAGCTTTCAAATGAGGTATCGCCCATTAAAATCGGAAGTGTATTTGTCAATTAATATAATTTCATATTTTATTCAATAATCTGTATTGAAACCTATGAGGAAAATATGAATTTAATTTAAATAATAATTGCCTGAAAAATACACTTCCGATTTTAATGGGCGATACCTCATTTGAAAGCTTATAGAAATGTCGTTATTATATATTACTTTCACCATGATAACATTTTAAATAAAAAACATACTTAAATTTAGAAAAAATGATGATCGACCTTTCATATCAAAAGCATCAGGCTCTAGACCTACGATGCACATTCATATTAATCCGAGCCACACTAACAGTTACAATTCATTTAAAATATTGTACATATTACTAAATTTGTTACAACGCTAGTTTTTTGTGTCTCATTATAAACTTAAGTGATTTAAAATGAATTATAAATTAAAGTGTAAATAGTATTCTAAATAATTTATTAGCCAATCATAAATACAAATTTATGAATAATATA